TTAATATGAATAACATATGTTTAGTGTCATGGTGTATTCATTAACGCAGGCTCAAGGGAGCTAGGTTACCTTTGAGATGACCCCCAGTGGTAGATAAAACAATTTTTAGGATGATCCCTGTAACACGCTGCCTCTGCATTCTCAGGCAAAGGATTGGTGCCTTACAAAATACTGTGTGTATCTGGATGGGTGCCACCGTGGTATCGCAGTGATAATATTATCTTCACATCCAGCCAAAATACTGAGCTAGTGAAATCCTGTAAAGTGGTGAAAAAGAAAAATATATATATAGGACAAGTGTTTCCCAGCTTAAAACGGGATGATGATGTTGTTTATGCCGATTCATTCAGAGTGAAAATAAAAAAAGTATTATATATCAGAGGAATGTAAACGTTTATATATCTGGAAGGCTTTATAAAACAGGTGTGGATTAAAACTTTATTGGAGTATAGCACATAAAAAAGGAATTTGCTTTAATTGTAAGCTCTGTGAAAAATAAATCCACCCCTTTTATGGGGTAATGTATAAGTGTGTATTTGGAGTTGTTTTCTGAAATATCTGTATTTTTATTTAAGTTTTCTTCGTGTGGATGAACTGAGGATATAATAGTAGACAAATGGCGCAAGACAAACACAGGCCAAAGAAAATTACCTTCACCAAAACCGAGAGAAGCTTTGTAAGTCTGTGCTTGTACACACACTGTGCATGATATTGATACATTTATATTTATACATATATATTATATATTCTTTAATAAATCATATATTACTTACGGCGAAATATAATACGATATGACTTGTGGGATGCTGCATGAATTAACTTTTCACTGACTTGCTTTCTAATTTTTTAAATTATAAATTTCTTTGCGGTGTACTTTATATACTTGTGCACTTTTGAGAGAGAAGGGAAATTTTTTTCTGCAAATGTAAAACATTGATGGGTTTTGGTAATATTTCCTATTTGCAATTAAAGAAAGACAACTCTGAGATATGGTCAAGGTACAAATTACATGTTACTTGACGTGAAAGATTAATAAGTATATTGATGTTTTCTATACTTGGCTGCATGTAGAAGTTATTGGTTGCTGTCTCTGCTCATTTCCCTTCCGTTTAATTGTTTGAATTTGCCAATTTTTTTTTTAACTATTCAGTATTGAATTCCTTTTATACTTGAAGTTGATAGTAAATTGTTGATTGTCATTTAAATTGGGGAAAAAATATCTCAGTTTGGTGTAGTAAATTATTTGAAATTTTCGATTTCTTGTCAACTGCCAATCAAATTATAATAAACTGTTATTAGTGCAGTTTTTATACCATTTTCATAACAAGTTGATTTCATTGTTTGGAGATGAATTTAAGGATAAATAACACAAACAAACTTTTTTCTGCATTATAAACAACAATGGTAACAACATTAGAGTCTTGTCCAAATTACATAACATTAGGAAGTATTGTTCGTGGGTGTATTTTGCACTGTTTACAATACTTGAAAGTCTTCATATACATACGACATTACACCATGCTGTTTAAGGTGCAGAAATTGGGGTTTTTTTCAACTATGGAGTACTATTCACACAGAAAAAGATGAAGGTTACAAAAATTTACTAGTAGGAATATGTGCTTTAAACATTTACTGAAATTTATTGATGAAAATGTCAAATGATGCCCTGCTCTCACACTCAGTAACTATACACCCATTTTTTTCTAGGTGGGAAGATAAATATAAATTTTAAACTGGCAACACAGGTGGTCAAATGTTACAAATCTATAATCTATATATATTGTATTATATATGTGGGGAAGTTAAAAACATAAAGATGACTAATGCATGACACTGTACAAATGCTTAATGCTTATACCTGGTATAAATATATATCCCTAATACATGTAGACCATGTATAAGCATTTAGCATTTGTATCAAGTTTTGGAATAGTTCTGGAAAAAATTGTGCAATTTATAAGATCTTTTAAAGGCAGATCTGATAGATGCTTAAATTTTTAATGTTTATCTCATACCAACAGCTTTTCAGTAATTCTTTAAGATATGACTTAACCCCCCCCCCCCCCCCCATTCCCAAAAGTAAATAAATAAAAAAGACATTGATAACAGTGAAGTAAGATCAGTTTGATTGAGAGAGAATTCCTATTGATAAGTACTGGTAATGCATTTCAAAAATTGACATTATTTCAGAATCAGTATAAAGGGAACCCATAAAACTGACTCTTTTTAATGAAAGTTTTCTTTGTTATGTGACATTAATTATTTTATTTTTGTAGTCATGTATATAAATTATGATCAGGACACAGACATATTTAGCTGTTCTAAATGATGGAGTTTTACAATACAACTTAGGCCTTTAAGCACTTGTTCTTTTCTGGTCATGCTTTGAGGTTTTAAAGCCTTTATGCTCAGCTTATTCACTTTCATGTTTTATGATTGTTTTGTTTACACTAGGATTGTAGGCTTTCTACTCCAATATAAGGTACTCGCCTTCGTTTCACAGACATTCCAAGTTTATTGGAACTCTCCATACTTTGGAGGTACAATTGTAGAATTTTTGTCCATGAAATATAGTATTTATTGATTTTTCCATTGCTGCTGAACAGAGGCCTCCATATTGTATTGAAATTTGCATTTAAGCCTAGATTCAGAAGCCATTTTGGAGCATCCATTATTCCCGTTCATTATAAACTTGTTTTTATAGAATTTTGAAATCATCCTTGTTTGGATTAATGATGAATGCAAGTTAAATAGATGATTATAGTTAGGCTTTAGGCAGTGGTAGGCATGTCCTGCCCGTCAATAAGAGGCAATTGGGATTTTATACTGGTTTTGATGGAATGCTAGTGAGGAGAGTGGTGAAGGGTTTGAACTGATATATCTACACATGATGAATGTTTGTGGATACCCTAAGCTGGTTGAAGAATGATCAGGCAATATTAGGAAGCTGGTATCCAATGAAGAACTCCTTCTGATGGGTCGAATCAGGAAACACAATAGTGATGTAGATTCCTTGATGGTAATATTTTACTGGAAATTCCTAAAAGCTAAACAGAGTAGTCTGAATAGATTAGTTGTTTTTGCAAATTATGCATGGTATAATTTTTCCCCTAATATTTAGGTACATTTGTAAATGAGAACATATGAGAGATATAAACATGTCAGGAGGACATTCTTATATCTTGGGAATGGCTTTAACAGAAATTTTCCAGATGCAGAATCATTATTATTATTATGAGGAAGTACTTATGACATGAATATGGCTTCTTTTCAAACTATCCTGGAGAAAGTATGATGTCAACTTGTGTAGCTGTGTGAGAGACAGAGGTTAAGTTTTAGTCTTGTACTTGCTGCCAAGCTACCATTAGTTGTCAGGGAAAATAGAAATTTATGGTAGAAGGGTCAAAAGTCAATGTCAAAGAAGAGATCAGGTTTTGACAGTGTTTAATTAAACAGTAGCAATTTACAATGTTGTATGTAATGTTAACTAAGTCATGAATGTAATAATTTAATGCTTAAAATATTACACTTCTGAGACTTGCTGATTTGCAATGTTCGTTTATATGTAACTAGCTACGTAATGTGTTTAACTTTTGTGCATTTACTAACTAGTACACTGTAGTACTTTAGAATGCCCTGAGATTAGTGCACTGCTTGAAATGTGTCACATTTGACAAAATTCCACGAAAGTGACTTAAATTGTTTATTCCAAAATAATTTAATTTTATTTGTATTCTCGCCTCTCATTGGTTGATTACCAAAAAGGAACGCATAACATTTTGTATAATCTGGTTTGGTATGGGGACACACCCCCTTGACGACCAGCTTAATCATCATATCCATGCAATCCCCTCATTTCCAGTCCTCAGAATAAATGGAAAATTCCAGATTTAGTAAATGTACTTCAACTTTAATCAATTACTCGTTCTTACCTCATGTAAACAAACATCATGGCTGCTAGATCTACATATGTATGTATCAGTCATTACCTCCCCTCGCTTCAAATCACTTCCGTTACTACGGTTGTATTATTGCGCGGTAAATTTGAACTCATAAAAAGCAACACAATTTAAAATTCAAAGTTGTTTAATTATTTTAAAATTAAATTATAAGGAATGACTTTAATTCTTGGCCATATTATCGAGTATAATCTGGTTTGGGTCAGTTTACGCTTTTTTATAATCCGCTTCGCGGATTATAAAGCGTAAACTGACCCAAACCAGATTATACTCGATAATATGGCCAAGAATTAAAGTCATTCCTTAAGTAATCTAAGAATTTTTTAACTAATAATTTTCCGAGGATTTAGTATATTGGTCAAGAGAACTGACCCTATGTTAATTATGCTAAAAAAAAAAGTCTGACGTAGTGGTTACAATAATAAATCTTATGTTGTATTTCAACAATATGCATGTATGGTAACCAGACTGATTAACACATTTTCCCAACAGCAATAAAAATGTTTTTCTTTCAGAAACAGAATTTAGTATTGATTACAATAACAACTTACTGCTATTTATGGCAAAGATAATATTGTTGAAATGTTGTTGACATGATGAGCACAAGGAATTGTACACTGTGGATTATTTTTGTGATGGGATCTTTTTGTTTTTTCCGCTGAATGGAGGATTGTTTATGAGTTTCCAGTAAAGGCTGGATTAAGATGCGACCGACAGGCAGTCTGCTTTGTTTGAGAGATTGTTTATGTCTCGCTATATCTCATCATCATCTCATTCAGAAGCATGAAAAAAAAATTGTTGCCTCTCTCGCAGGCTCCTGGCTGACAAGCCTATCCTGCAGAATGTATAGACTGCAGACAGCGAAGAGGAATTTGCACTCTTTTGAATGAAATGCAGAAGCCTCTCGGAATTGATTGGCACATCATTAAGATGGGATGCACTCCATCCATCAAGATCAGGCTGAAAATTATTTATGAATGTTTTTTTTTTCTATCTTCAGAATATTGCATGCATTTTTTTCTTCACGTTTTTGTCTGAATTTGAATTCAAATGGCCATTACCATCAAGTAGAAATTTCCGTCCCCTTCAGTGGGAAAAAACAATGTCAGTTTTGAATTTTTTAGTATTACGACATGGTATAATTCATGAAGTATAGGGAAATTTGGAATTATCGTTTCGCAAGTGTTTTGTTTTGTATGGTTGTAGCAGTGACACACATTTGTGAATTATTGATTCCAAGCTATTACACAAGGAGCAGATTTATAAAATATTCATAGGAGTTAATCAAACTGAAATCAAACCTTGTAGTCTATTCTGTATTGCCTCATAGCGAGCCCCTATATGTGCTTAGGATATTCTTCCTAAATCTGTCGGGTTTCTTTTGATATAATTGTTTATCCTTCCAATGAAATTAGGGTGAATCTCTTTGTCAGTAACATAGGTAATGAGTAATTGCTCCTTTTAGTCGGTATTGATCAGTAAGAGAGTAGGGCAGTCACAGACATATTGATTTTTCAGGCCATAATGCAGTAGTGCATGCGGTATTGCTGCAAAAGCTTCCCTTGTTTCAGTACAGACATTTGTTGTGTTTTTCTATCAGAAGCCATATTGATGCACGGTCATGTGACAGATATCTTTTTTTTATGTGTTTTACAAAAAATTCAGTTGGGAACGGGACGATAGGTCATCATTGGCTGTAGACTTTTTTTTCTCTTTTTGACAAAAGAACTCTCTGACTAAAAATTATTTAATGGTTTGGGAAGCGTAGAGTTTATTAGTAAGTTCTTTGTGAGATCATTAGAGACCTGGTGATATCTCTATCCTAGCGAGTCTTACTCCGGGACCTTAGTTATCGAGTATGCATGGATATTGATTCGAACTAAGGTTTCAGATTAACTCGCTTCCCGGAAAGTGTGTCATCTAGGAAGTCGAAGCCTGGCCTCGGTCATATATAAAAAAAAAAATATGATTGGAAACAGAAAACGAAGTTTGTGCAAATGAAGTGGTTATTGGGTTTATAAGATTGGTGTGCGAGGGTCCTAACGAGACAGTATTTTGAGATCATGGTGGCTGTGGGAAGCCAGTCACAGGAGCAGTACAATCTCTTACTTAGTTCTTCCTCCATTTCCTTGGTAAGTGCATGGTGAGGACAATTGATTTTGATTATGCATGTGCAATTGGAAGGGCATCAAGTATGCATTGATGCTGACAAGTACTGTGTGTCAGGATGCACTGTTTGGGATTTAATTAATGCATTATAACCATGTTTTTGATCAGTGTTGTTGAGAATTTGAGATACTTTGTAGTGGTTTGTGTTGCTGTCCTTTTTTCCAGTAAGTAACTCAGGAAATTTTCTCTTTTTTTTTCTAGGAATCTGCAGACTCCATTAGTCAAACAACCCCAGATGCTTCTGAAAATGAGGAACGGAGTGCACTGCAAGCCGAGACTAAAAGGCTTGCCTTAGAACAGTTGCAAAAGGCAAAGGTATGATAATGATAAATTAGCAGTGTTTGAGAGGCACTAATATTAGATCACAAACACAAAGTGTTCTTTCAAAAACATCTTTCAAACAAAAAGTAAAAAGAGGCGAAGTCAAAAAAGAAAATGATGGGTTTGCACTTAAATGTGTTAAATGTTGCCATTTTGTTTATTGCGTGGCACCTGTTGTTAGCTGATATAGATCTTGGCAGGGGGGCTATGCTAGTGCATCCTCTTACTCAGAAGAATTCTTTTCCATTGATAATTCCTGTATTTTTTGAATCGCTTATGTTTATCTGTAACTTTGTACGGAGAAGGAAGAGGAGGAATATAGCATGTTTCCATTCCTTCTGGAGCATTACAAGTATTAGCTTGTCTGATGTGAGCAATTATTCATTATTATTCTAAGAATTGTGAAAAATCAAATCCAGTTTAATCAACAGAAATCTCAGTCTAGAAAATTAATTTCTCTGTTAAGAATAAAGAGAGTTCAAATTAGTTTCTTGACGTAAACTGTTTTAATTTCTCAGGATATTCTTGGTGCTTGTAAAATAAAGTTGTACCCATACCTGAAAGACAAATCCAAATATAAATGAATAATAATAAGTTTCAAACTGTTTGGATTTTTTTAAAATTGAAATTCTTAATATATCAAATAAAGTTGACACCTTTGCACTTTCATATGAGAATATAATTTTAACTTTTTAGCTCACCTGAGCCGAAGGCTCAAGTGAGCTTTTCTGATCACATTTTGTCCGGCGTCCGTCTGTCTGCCTAGCTGTCTGTCTGTCCGTCTGTCTGTCTGTAAACTTTTCACATTTTCGATTTCTTCTCAAGAACCGCTGGGCCAATTTCAACCAAACTTGCCACAAAGCATCCTTGGGTGAAGGGGATTCAAGTTTGTACAAATGAAGGGCCACGCCCTCATTCAAGGGGAGATAATTGGGAATTAATGAAAATTTGGTGGTATCTTTTAAAAAAAAATTTCTCAAGAACCACTGTGCCAGGAAAGATGAAACTTATGGGGAAACATCCTCAGGTAGTGTAGATTCAAATTTGTTCAAATCATGACCCCCGGGGGTAGGGCAGGGCTACAATGGCCGACCAAAATTTTACATAGAATCATATAGGAAAATTCTTTAAAAATCTTCTCAAGAATAACAAAGCCATAATTGATCATATTTATATTGAAGCATCATCAGGTAGTGTAGGTTCAAGTTTGTTCAAATCATGACCCCTGGGGGTAGGGCGGGGCCACAATGGCCGACCCAAGTTTTACATAGAAATATATAGGAAAATTCATTAAAAAAACTTCCTTTCAAAAATAACAAAGCCATAATTGATTATATTTTTATGAAAGCATCCTCAGGTAGTGTTGATTCAAGTTTGTTCAAATCATGACCCCCAGGGGTAGGGTGGGGCCACAATGGCCAACCAAAGTTTTACATAGAAATATATTTGAAAATTCTTTACAAATCATCTTCTCAAGAATAGTAAAGCCATAACTGGTCAAAGGTTTACTTTTGGATTTAAACTTTTCAAGAATAAACCAATTTCTATTTTATTCCTAGCCACAGTGCTCAGGTGAGCGATGTGGCCCATGGGCCTCTTGTTTATTTCTTTTACTATTATTTAATTAAACATGCCTACAAATTATTAATATATGTAGACCTGTGTAAATTATGAAACAGAGAGGCTCACTTTGGGTTGAAATTAGAAACATCAATTAAATCTGATAAGAATATTATACAAGTATGATCAGCTTCATTCCTTACTGTTTTATTAAACTGAAATACATTACTAGGATAAAATGATGCATTCAAGAATAACTAAATGCTACCTGTAAATGAGATATTGATATCAAGATTAATTTTGTTTCACCATCCAGTATTGCTTAGTCTTGCTTGGGTGTTACAGTGTAAGCAGTGGATGAGTTAAGAGCCATTCTCTGTAATGATTTGAAATTTTATATAGGAGCTGTGGCACGCATAGTCTCAGAATTTCGCCAAACTCTCTATGATAAAAGTCATTGATACCCTAAACTGAAATCAGGCAAAAATTGGTTGCTATGTTTTATAGTAACCATGGCAACATGTCTTAACGTTCGAAAAATGGCATTTTTTAACATGTTTAGAGCCCCATGGTTAACATTTGCGGCAAAGCAAACAATTAGCAATGACTGTTTCCAAAAGTTGAAGGTGAGATGTCTCAAATGCATGATAAACATGTTTGGTAAATCAACTATTACATACGTTACTATGGTAACAAAGTATTCAAAAGTAAAAAAAATATTCATTGAATTTTATAAAGTCATACACGTAAAAATAAAAAGCAATTATAGGATGAAATGTGACCAAATAATAGAAAAAAGAGCCTTGAAACATATACCAAGAACAAAATATGATATTTCATTTTGGTTGGCAATGGTTGCCAAGGTTTTTATACCACAGAGAGCTTCGAAAGTAACACTATGTATGTTTAAATCTGATCCTATCTTTTAAAAAAGCACATTTCCTCATAACTAATGATCAATTTTATAAGATGTTGGTGTGCTCCAAGTTTTCCCATTTGAAAAAATTCAGATTAGATTCTTTAAATAGAGCGTTGCTATGGAAATAAGCAGAAAATATATGCTTAAAAACCTGGAAAATATTTTCTTTCCTTGGATACGTACCCTTAAA